TCCCTACAGCTGCTCAAGGAAGGTGTGTGTGCTTCACTTTGAAGCAGCTCTTTATGTTAAGGGGAAGTCAGAAGAGGGGAAGAAACGAGTTCTAAAGTTTTTAAGTAATTCACCATCAAGTATGATTTCTTATGAAAACTCACTCTTTATTTTCTTTATGAAAACTTGCTTTTTTTTTCCTATTTCATTTCCCCCATCTTCCCTCCCTTTCTGTCCATTCTTTGTCAAGTGTGGATCAGGAGCAGCAGTCTGTGAACCTGCCCTGGGCAGAGTGCCCTGCAGCCAGGAGCCTGCACACTGTCCCTGTTCCACAGCCAACATTTTAATGATATATCCCTACTCCAGCCCACTGTCCAAGCACCAAATTCCTTCCTGTGGCCTCAAGCACAGGACCTAGGAAACTCCGTGGTGTTTCCAAGGTTTGCCCTGGTAGACCTAGAGAATGGTTTACCTCACTTCACCAGGTTTTTAACTAAATAATCCCTCTGAGACCAAGCAGTGTTGTCTAACAGAGCCTGGCTCCATGGGCACCTGGTCCCTGAGAGGAGACTTCATCTGTGGGGTTGTCTTCAAGAGAATCATCCCAACTCCTTTGGATGAAGCATGGACCATGCTGAAGCCTTTGAAAAATGCTGGTGTGGACTTCTATATGGATAGGAATGGGAAATCCAGTGCTTTAGAGAGGTTCACTGAAGCTGAAATATTTTATTCCTGTGCCATGCTCAACCCCCTAATGTGGGGGGCAATAATATCCCACAGGCAGAAAATGAGCCCAGGGATGTCAACTCCCTGGCAGGTTTCTTGTGCATAGACATGTCCTCTCATATAACACCCACGCTGCCACTGCAAGCCTCACCAATGGCACATCTGGGGACCTTAAATTAAAGGGTTACCCAGAATAAATAAACAAGCACTTGCACTTTGGAACTATTGACTGAGCTCCACCACCAGAACAATTTGTTAGCGAGAGGTTTGGGCATTGGGAAGAAGATGGCAAATATCCCCCTTGTACTCTGCATTTGTCTTCTGGGAGCTTGTCTTGGTGATGAAAGTACAGGTGGGTTCATCTAAAATCTATCAAGTCCTTCACTTTTGGGTGTGGGTGTTACTGGCCCAGGTGAAGGGACAGTTTGTCACCTGAGGGTGGGACAGCTCTTGCAGTCTCATAGGAGACGAACTCAGAGGGACTGCTGACCTGCACAGCTCCTTTCTTTAAAGCTCTGGTTCTTTTCCTGGGAATGAAATAATGGTCTTTATGCTGATTTTACGCAGAATGTGTAACAGGGATTAATTTTAAGAATAGGATTTTTCTTCAACTTTCTCTAGCTTTGAAGCTTTCAGAGCCTGATTCAGCCATTTTAGAACACACACACACAGAGAGAGAAGGACAAAAAGGGGCAAGGGCTGCAGGTGGAGTAACAACCAGCAGCACCCTCAGCATGTGCCACTGCTTTGTCCTGGAGTACAGACAAGTACTCTCACCCATAAAGCAGTCATTGGATTTGCCACCGTGAGAATTGTTTAAAGCCAAACCCAGCGTGAAGGTAACAAAGGCTGTAAGATGCAGCCAAAATTGGAGACAAGATAGAGGAGTTGATGGATGTGGGCAATCACACATAGTAATGCAGGCTGCTGCTGGATTGATCTGTAACAGCAACAGTTCCAGCAGAGCCTGGTTGACATCCAGTGTGAATACTTGCTTTGTGCAAGGCTGGCCTTGTTTCTTTCATTAAGACATGGCAAGTAACAGGTTAAAAAAAAAACAACATATAAAAAAAAGGCCTCTTTCCAAAATGTTTGCTTAGCCATGAAAAGTGAGCAGAGCCTGATATTGTTACCACCAACAGCACAGGTGCACCTCCTAGAAAATACTATACTGAGCTGGCAGGGCAGGTCTCCCCCACAGCCCCTTGGCCCACAGACCCATCTCACTCCTCAGATGCTGTTCCAGAAGCTGGTTACTCTTGGTGTGAGGATGGTTTCTAGCCAGGGGGCCTGCAACTTTCAGTTCAAATCAAGTTTTTCTTGTAAAGCAGCATGTGGGATCAGTAAACAACTGAGACAGCCTAGAGAGATCTGATGGAGACAAAGCTGCACTCGTTATAATGAATTCTCTCTACTAAATGGGTTAATCATGGCAGGTGCCTGGCACATCCCACCAGAAAGAGAAGGAACAGGTCTAATGCAGCCACCTCATGCCACATAGGGCTGTGCCCATGTTGGGATCCCTGGACACTAAGCTTATGGAGAGAGAGCCTGACCGGACTACAGAACCAAGGAGGCAGGTCCTTCATTCTCCCTTGAGCCTTTTCTGCCCAGCCTGGGGACAAGCTGGAGGCTGCAACCCACTCCATAGGGGACAGAGGACAGGTCTTCTCCAGCAAGGCTGTGCCCCTGCTTCCTCAGCCCCTGGCTCACCCAAGGAGGCTCATTTGGGGTTGTATGTTCATGTGCCCCAAACAAACCATGGCCCTGCAGCTGGGAGAGGACCAGCCACCCCGTGCAGGCTGCAGCACTTGAACCAAGCCTGGCATCATCAGAGGGCAGTGCTCACCCACCAGCATCTCCTGACAAACAACGAGATTAAGGTCAGGATTTTAACTCACTCCTTTCAATTTTTAACCAAGACCACACCAGCATCAGGAAGGCAGAGGTGCAGGTTTGCTGCACAAGGACTGAAAGCACTGCAGAAACAACCCAGCCTCTTGCAGTGAGATCTCTAGGTGAAGGGGTTGGTTACACCATCAGAGATGTGGTGCAAATCAGAGCAAACCCCTTTGGGCTCATGAGAGTTCAACAAAACTGACCCTTTGCAGCTTCCCAGAGGCTGGGGTCTGCTCTGGATGGAGAGCAGGTTGACCATGAGGAGGTAGCCACCACGGGCTGGCACTTGCCCCTCACTCTGTGCTGAGCTCACACTCCCCTTAACCCCCGAGGGGCCAGACCCACAGGTGCCCACACCCCTTCCAGAGCCCAGACCCAGGGCCCGAGCCCAGGGGGGCCACCAGCAGCTCCAAGAAGAGCTGCTCTGCCGTGCCATCTGGTGACACAAGGGGACACGGCTGCTAGAGCTAAGGGAAGGTGAGGAGAGGGGAGATGCTGGGGAGGCAAAGCAGGAAGGCTCCTCCAAGTGGATAATGGGGAGGCTGATGAGCAGTGGGGACACCCCCCCGACACCAGAGGTCTCCTGGGGGAGCTGCAGCACTGGCAGCTCTGCTGGTGGCTTCTCCCCAGCAGCTCAGCCAGCGAGCCAGAGGCAGTGGGGGACACACCAACTTGATGTGACCTGGCCCAGGGGGTGGGGAGGGGCTCATGTCTCCCCTCTGCCTGCAGGGAACAGGGGTGTCCAGGCACATGGGCAAAGCAAAGAACAGGGACAGAAGCAGATGGGATGAGGCTTCCCAGGGCTGCAGCTGCTTGCAGAGCCAAACTGTCTTTCACAGCCAAAACAAGCAGAGACAGTTAAAGCAGGACAATTTCTGCCTTCAAGCAAGACCTCAGCAAGCAGCAGCATGAAAATGCCTATTATTTTCCCCTCTCAAATAGCTTATTCTGGTCTGTGCATCTCTGGTGAGAGGTACCCGGGCCATCTGCTCTCAGGTATTTTAGGCTCTCCCCATCACCCTCTCACCACCCGTCATTTCTGTCTGTCGACTTCTTTGACTCTCAATTCTCCAGACTGCACTTCAGTCAGACACCAAAGAAGCCTCAGGGAGATGCTAACACCCCTGAAATGTCCCCAGCCACGGGGCAAGGGGAAGGTAAATGCACGGAAAGGCCTTGCTTCCTGGGGGAGGTGAGCCCTGGCAGCCCATCCCAGTGCATCCCACCAGGGCACCTGCTCCTCTCTAGCTCCTGTTTCTTCTCCATTCACAGTTTTCATTGATAACAAAGAAGCAAACTCAGTTCTCCAAAGGCAAAAGCGAGCCAATTCCAACAGACTGGAAGAGGTTATTCCTGGGAACCTCGAGAGAGAATGCATAGAAGAAAAATGCAGCTTTGAGGAAGCCCGAGAAGTGTTTGAAAACACAGAGAAAACGGTGAGTGTTGTGCTGCAGAAGGGCAACACCTTGTTCCCCCCAGCCTGCAGCTCTGTGAGCCTTTCAGGTGAGGCACAGAGGGGGAAAAGGAATGAACAACAAGGGGAAAACCTGCAAGGGCCAAGTGCAGCATCTACTTTATTCTGTATATCCTCTGTATTCTCCTCTCTGATCCATCAGCTGGGCTGGGTTCATTGGTCACCACTGGGAATATGGAGGTTGTGGTTTTCCTGCAAGTCTTTTCCTCTTTGGAGTCATCCCTTTATGACTTCAGTCAGGTAGTGCCCAGAATTAGAAATCAAAGGAAACTTCTGTTGTTTTTTTTTGGTTTTGCTTTTTTTTTTTTTCCCTTTGCAGATGGAGTTTTGGAAAACATACATTGGTAAGAGCTGCTTTCTTCATGTTCCAATGCTTAATATTCATCTCCCCATGTATAAGTAGCAGATGTTTATTGAAACAAGTGCATTCCAGCATTCAGAAAGTGTTTTGGGGCAGAGCTAGTCAGAGTCACACAACCTAAATCCTGCAACCACACTGCCTGGGCCCATCCCATTTGTATATAAATTGCAAGCCCTCCCCAGAATTATTTAACATGTTATTTGTTCAAGCAGATTTTTTTTAGCAGAGTTTAAAAACCTCACAGGAAAAAACATAAAAAACAAATCAGTTCCCACAGACCACTGGGCCCACTGAGCCCAGCTCACACTTTCTAGCTTCAGGTGTAGTATAGAGTAAAACAGGAGAGCAATAATTTAACACCCCTCCAGCAGACAGCAAATGCTCTGTTCTCAGGCAGAGATCTCCAGAGGAGGCACAGCCTTGTCCAAGCACTGTGTGAATCCATGAAAATGCCATATTAAAGCAGGGCTTCAACATGATCATAGCAAACAGCTGTTTGCAATTCACACCAGTGGTCCCAAACCCTGGTGCTTCTCCACCATTTGCTTTCCTTGCACCATCTATTTCTTCCCTTTCAGCTTCCATCCCCAATGACTCCTCAGTTCCTTACCAAAAAGATTTCAATGTCCACTAAAATATCTAAAACTAACGTTAAGAACATTTCAATAAATGAACTGCTTTGTAGGTTGGCAAAGCTCCCAGAACATCTCACTAAAAAGTTTTAAATACTTCAGATTATTCAGTCCAGACAATAAAATTTAAAAAGCTACATTTGCATCGTAGGACTGTCCTCTGATAAAACAACTGATGAAATTCAGCACTGCATTTGTTTTCCTGCTACTGTAACCAGTTAGCTCTTCAAAAATAGCAAGTGCTGTATATTCCCCTATCATCCAGTGTGCCTGGTTTACTGCTCAGTTTACAAGCTGCTATTCCCTACA